GACTGGAAGGCGGGTTCTATACAGTTCCTCTCCCCATACTGCCAGCAGCATTGCCTCCCTAAGATCTCCCCGATTCCACCGACTTTGTTGTGTCTAGAGACAGATGCAGAGCTGGCGCAAGTCATTCCGTCAGTTTACCATAATTTTCTGGATGTGTTTAGCAAGCGGGGGGTGGACACTCTCCCTCCGCACCGAGCTTATGCCTGCCCAATTGATCTCCTCCCAGGGTCGGAAATCCCATTTGGGCGGATATTCCCCTTATCCGAGCGGGAGTTAGGGGTACTAAAAGAGTATATAGATGAAAACCTCCATAAGGGGTTTATTAGACCCTCCACGTCACCAGCCGGGGCGGGCATTTTCTTTGTGGAGAAAAAGGACAAGTCCCTCCGGCCCTGCGTAGATTACCGGGACTTGAATAAGGTCACAGTAAAAAACCGTTACCCGCTACCACTCGTCCCCGAGCTGTTTCAGAGGCTGAAGTCAGCATCTGTCTTCACTAAACTAGACTTGAGAGGTGCCTATAATTTAGTTCGTATCAGAGAGGGGGACGAGTGGAAGACAGCATTCCGTACCAGATTCGGACACTTTGCATATTTGGTTATGCCCTTCGGCCTATGCAACGCCCCTGCCACCTTCCAACATTTCATAAACGATGTGTTCAGGGACTACCTAGATATCTTCGTCATTGTATACCTGGACGATATCCTTGTCTTTTCCCCCAACCTTGGAGGACCATAGAGGTCACGTGAGGCGCGTGTTAGAACGGCTCCGCCAACACAGCTTATATGCCAAGGCAGACAAGTGCTGCTTTGAACAGAGTAGCATTTCGTTTCTGGGTCTAACCATCTCTCCCACGGGAATAGCCATGGATCCTCAAAAGGTTTCGGCCATTTTAGATTGGCCAGCCCCCACCGATAAGAAAGCGGTCCAACACTTCATCGGCTTCGCAAACTTCTACAGAAAGTTCATTAAGAACTTTTCGGGCCTAGTGTCCCCTATCACCCAGCTGACCAGGCAGGGGGTTCGCTTCCAATGGACACCTGAGGCACAGAGGGCTTTCGAAGCCTTGAAGGAATTGTTTACGGCGGCTCCTATTCTGAGCCACCCTGATTCGTCCTTGCCATATATCTTGGAGGTGGACGCATCCGAGAATGCGGTCGGGGCGATCCTGTCCCAGAGGAAGGGCATCAAAGAACTCATGCACCCAGTGGCTTTCTTCTCCAGGAAACTAACTCCTGCGGAAAGGAATTATGATATCGGGGATCGGGAGCTCTTGGCGATTAAGGTGGCACTAGAGGGAATGGAGATACTTGTTAGAAGGGGCGGTACACCCAATATTGATTTTTACGGATCATAAGAACCTAGAATATCTGAGGACAGCTAAACGTCTGAGGCCACGTCAAGCCAGGTGGGCGCTGTTCTTTTCACGGTTCTTTTTCCATATAACCTATAGGCCAGGGTCTAAGAACACAAAACCAGATGCGCTCTCCCGCATGTTTGGGGATCCCGAAGAGAACTCCAAGCCAGACACTATCCTGTCCCCAGGAAATTTCTTAGTTCTCCAATCGGAGCTCCATTCTCAACTGCAGACCGCGTCCGTAGGAATGCAAGGTCCACCTGGTGTTCCCTTACTAAATAGGGAAGGACTTTTTTGGAAGGAGGATCAGATTGTGGTCCCTGAGGAGGCCCGTACATTGGTATTAGGATACTGCCACGATCACCCGCTGGCTGGGCACTTTGGGGTACGTAAGACCTTGGAGCTGCTGCAGCGTACTTTCTGGTGGCCTAATATGGCCAGGGAGTGCGAAACCTACATTAAGACCTGTCCCGTGTGTGTCAGAGAAACAAACCCACTAGGAATAAAGCTTGGGGTCTCTTGTGCCCATTACCCATTCCCGACAGGCCATGGACCATGATTTCCATTGACTTTATCGTGGAACTTCCACCTTCTCAGGACCACACAGCAATCTTCGTGATTGTAGACCGCCTGTCCAAGATGGCCCATTTTGTACCTTTAAAGGACACACCTACGGCCCTTGAGACAGCACGTGTGTGTTTATTAAGGAAGTAGTAAGACTCCACGGAATTCCCAGGGACATTGTATCTGACAGAGGGGTTCAGTTTACGTCCAGGTTCTGGAAAGCTCTATGTGAAACCCTGGGAATTAAGTTATCGTTCTCTTCAGCTTATCACCCACAGACCAATGGCCAGACGGAGCGTACAAACCAGACCCTAGAGCAGTACCTCAGGTGCTATACCACCTTCCTCCAAGATGACTGGGTTACTCTCCTGCCGCTTGCGGAATTCGCATATAATAATGCAAGTCACTCTGCTACTAGACAGTCCCCGTTTTTCGCAAACTATGGGTTCCACCCTGTATTCCTGCCAGATCTAATCCCAGAGGTCGCAGTCCCAGCCACGCAGAATATGTTGACCTTTCTGTCAACCAATAGCAAGGTATTGCAGGAAGCAATGGCAAAGGCCCAGGATGACAATAAGAGGGCGTTTGATAGGAAGAGAAGAGGGGAATTGAGTTTGCGGCCAGAGGACCAGGTTTGGTTGTCCACCGCAAATTTAAAAATGTCCTGCCCTTCGAAGAAATTGGCTCCCAAGTTCTTGGGGCCTTTCCGGGTCAAACGTAAGATCAACGAGGTGGCATACGAGCTGGCACTGCCCGAATCTATGAAGGTTCATCCGGTCTTCCATGTGTCCCTGTTAAAACCGGCAACTCCAGACCCCTTCCCGGATCGAAGGTCTAAGCCACCGGAGGCAGTAGACGTGGATGGGGAGGAGGAATTTGAAGTTGAAGCTATCTTAGATTGCAGGAAGAGGGGAGGCCAAACTCAGTTTCTGGTTAAATGGAAAGGATATGGGGCGGAGGAAAATTCATGGGAACCGGCCCAAAATGTGCACGCCCCAAGGCTTGTGCGGGAATTTTTTCGGAAACCAGCCGTTGAGTAGGGGTCGGTTGGGCATCCGGTGGTTGCCCGTAGGGGGGGGGCAATGTCAGGGATCCCGGGTCCTCGGCGGCGCGCGCATGCGCAGACCGCCGATCCGTCCCAGCCGGCGAGCACAGAATCCTCGGCGATCGATCGCGGCGGCCGCGCATGCGCAGTAGTAGCGATCACGGCCGCACCAATGGGAGAGCAGGGCGCTCTATTTAAAGCTGCCCTGTGCATCTCCAAGTTGCCGCAAGGTCTCGTTCCTGTTCCTGTAAGTACGCTTCCTTGTTGCCAAACTCTGCCTGTTCTGTTTATGCTGACCTTCTCCTGCTCTGACCCCGGCTCGTCCCTGACCATCCTTCTGCCTGACCCTCTGTACCGCGCTGCCCGCTACCTGCTGAACCTGGCTTGTGACCCCGACCATTCTCCGCTTACTCCCCCTGTACCACGCTGCCCGCACAATACCGACCCGGCTAGTCTGACCTCGCCTACTCCTGATAGTTGCCCATCCATCCCGCTCGGATCGGGATCTGTCATCCCATCCATCCCGCTCGGATCGGGATCTGTCATCCCATCCATCCCGCTCGGATCGGGATCTGTCATCCCCTTCACAGCAGGCTCAACCCGGGCACATACCCTCAGCGGGACCCCTCTGCCGCCGCCGGGGGTGCCCAGGGACGCGACCTGGTTTCAGTCTTGCACCAAGTCCATCCCCACCATCAGGGGCCCTGGTGAAAAGGCAGACTGGGACTTAGACTCCGCGTCCTGGGAAACCCCGTGCCGTGGACCACTAGAGATCCCGTTGGGCGGAGCCTGACAGGAAGGCAAAAAAAACCCCCAGCAAAGCGTGATCCAATTTGCTCCTGCAGAGGAAAAAATTCCTGATCCCCCGAGAGGCAATCGGAGATTACCTGGATCAACTTTACCTATAAATGTTAGTATCCAGTTATATTCTGTGTATCTAGGAAATAATCCAGGCCGTTTTTTAAAGCAATCTACTGAGCTGGCCAGAACCAATTCTTGAGGGAGTCTATTCCACATTTTCACAGCTCTTACTGTGAAGAAACCTTTCTGTATTTGGAGATTTAATCTCTTTTCCTCCAAACATAAGGCGTGCCCCCTTGTCCTCTGTGATGACCTCAGGATGAATGCTTCTCCACAAAATTCACTATATGAACCACTGATGTGTTTATACATTGATCATGTCACCCCTTAATCTCTTCTTCTGAAGAGAGAATACATTCAGTTCCTTTAATCTTTCCTCATAGCTGAGCTCCTCCATGCCTCTTATCAGTTTGGTTGCCTTTCTCTGTACTTTCTCCAGTTCCCCAATCTTTTTGTGAATTGGTGCCCAAAACTGAACTGCATATTCCAGATGAGGTATTACTAATGATTTGTACAGGGGTAATATGATATTCTCTGGAGTCTATACCTCTTTTAATACAAGAGAGGATTTTGCTCGCTTTAGAAACTGCAGCTTGGCATTATTAAGCTTGTGATCTACCAGAACCCCCAGATCCTTCTCCACCATTGATTCTCCTAGTTGTACTGAACCTTGGGGTACACCACTGATGACCCCAGACCATTCACAGTATGTATCATTAACCACTACTCTCTGAATACGATCGTTTAGCCAGTTTTCAATTCATTTACATACAGATTTTTCCAAGCCTGTAGACTTTACCTTACACATTAGCCATGTGTGGGGATCTGTGTCAAACGCTTTTGCAAAATCCAAGTATACCACGTCCACCGCCACCCCTCTGTCCAAGGTTTTGCTCACCTCCTCATAAAAAGAAATCAGATTTGTTTGACAACTTCTGTCTTTCATGAATCCATGCTGTCTGTTGCTTAAAATATAATTTTCAAGCAAGAACTCATCTATGTGGTCTTTTATTAACCACTTGCCTACAGGGCAATTATGCCCCCTTCCTGCCCAGGGCAGTTTTCAGCTTTCAGTTCTGTCGCACTTTGAATGACAATTGCACAGTCATGCAACACTGTACCCATATGAAATTTTTATAATTTTTTTGAGACCGAGCTTTCTTTTGGTGGTATTTAATCACCTCTGGGTTTTTAATTTTTTTGCTAAACAAACCAAAAACAACTGAAAATTTTGAAAAAAAAAAAAAACTTTTTTTTCTTAGTTTTTGTTATAAAATGTTGTAAATAAGTGATTTTTCTCCTTCACTGATGTGCGCTAATGAGGCTGCAGTGATGGGCACTGATAGGCTGCACTGATGGGCACTGGTAGGTGGCACTGATGGGCATTGACGGGCATCACTGATGGGCACTGAAAGGCAGCACTCATATATGACACTGATAGGCAGCACTGACTGGCACTGTTAGGTGGCACTGACTGGCACTGTTAGGTGGCACTGATGTGCACTGATAGGAGGCACTGACTGGCACTGATTGATTGGCAGCACTGATAGGTGGCACTGATAGGTGACACTGAAAGGCAGCTCAGATGGGCACTGATATGTGACATTGATGTGCACTGGTAGGCACTGATGTGTGGCATTGATGAGGCACTGACAGGTGGCACTGATGAGCGATGACAGCTGACATTGATGGGCACTGACAGGTGGGACTGCTAGGGCTACACTGATCATCAGGGCACACTGATCATCAGTGCCCTGATGATCAGTGTACATGTCCCCTCTGAGGGATGCCGATTACGGTCTCTTCTCTCCTCTCGAGCTGTCAGCGTGACAGCTCATGAGGAGAGAAATGCCGATAACCGGCATTTCCCTATTCACATGCGATCAGCTGTGATTGGCCACAGCTGATCACATGACCGAGCCGACATCTTCAGCTCTTTCTGTTGATCAGTGATCCGCTGTGTCCGAGGGATCCCCATGCTGTGCGCTCCTGGAGCCGAGTGGGAGAACATCATATGACTTACTCCCAGAACGAGAGAACCGCCTTGCGCCAGTCATTACCTTATATGGCAGGCGGGAGGCGGTTAAACTCTCCAGTATTGTCCCAACTATAGAAGTAAACTAACAGGTCTATAATTGCTTGGGAAAGATTTTGATCCCTTTTTAAATATAGGCACCTCAGGCATTAGTTGGTTTGCCCCCCTCTCATTGTGGCACTGCTTGGGGACATCCCTGTTTGGTCATGGTTAACCCCTTCACGCCTAAGGGTAAAACAAATCTAAATGCCTAAGCACAATTTTGCAACGTTGACATGTGTTCGTAAAACCGTACATATCATCACAACTACTTTGTACATCCAGGTGAATTATACCTTGTTTTTTTCAGGACAAATTGGGCTTTCATTTGGTGGTAAATGGTAATGGATATCTCCTGATTTTTTTTATTATCAAAGGAAAACTGGCCCAAAATAGTAAAAAAAAATATATTTTTTTTTTATTTTTAGCTGTGTGTTACTTGTTACTACCATAACCTACCACCAAAGAACAATCCAAAATAAATTCTCCAGCTCTTGACGATCGCAGTGATACCATAGACGTGTATGTTATTTGTTGTTTGTACCCGTAGTACAGCCCAGAAACAATAGTGCACATTTTGTTTTTGTCTTTTTATTTTACCAAAAACACACACTGACACTGATACCAAATTTTTTTAAAAAAATTAAAAAAAAATTTTTTTTTAAAGCAATCCTAGTGGCTGATTAGCTGCTGGATTGCTTTACAAGCATCGGGACGAGATGAGTCCCCCTCCCGCCGCCTGTCACGGCTCTCAGGCTCTCACGTCCCACCAAGAGACCTGAGAAACCAGCTGACAATTCCACAGGCTGACCATAGAGGTAGTCAGAGACCGGAAAGGCTCCGATCATCTCTAGGGTATAGAAAACTGGAAGCGATGAGCATTCATCACTTCCAGCTTTGCTGAATGAAAACAGCACCATTTTTAAATTGGGAAAGCATCTGATCACACCGATATTGGCGGGATCAGATGCTGTGAAGGGCAGAGGAGAGTTCTGGGGTCTCAATAAAGAGTACCTGTCACTGCCTATTGCTAGTAAAGTGGATTTTTTATATTCCCTGTGATAACAATAAAAGTGATCAAAAATATTTTAAAGCAACAGTGTTGAAAAAAAATTAAACGATCAGCCCACACATGTAAGGTATCACCATGAATGTCAAATTGAGTGCAGTAATTCTAGCACCAGAACCCTTGTGTAAATTTAAAGTGGTTGACACAGACTTGGGGCTGGTGGAGATCCCAGAGAACTCTGTTTTTACTGTGTTTTCAAATTATCCAGAAGGAGCTGGTCACTAATTGACTTTTGGATTCCTATGTATAATGTATTCCTGTGAGTGCAGCGGACTGTCTGAGGTGGTCTGTGATAATGTGATTAGCTCTACTGTCTGAGGTGGCCATTGTCTTTGATAATGTGATTAGCTCTTATCTGATGGTTTTCTGTATAGATTCCATGTGTTTCTCTAACAAAGCAGTTCTTCTGGTTTACTCCAAAAACTGGCATTGCCTAGTTCTTTGGGGTAGTTACAGCTATAATCACTTGCCTTGTGTTCCAGAGCTTGAGAAGCAGCTTCTTGGTAGAGATATCCTAGTCCGGGTGTCAGGAGTTCATCACAGTGGTAAACTGTAAAGGCTTTTAAAGCGTCACCTATGGATAATTATTATTATACAGTATTTATAAAGCGCCAATAGTTCGCTCAGCGCTGTACATTACAAAGGGGGACAGAACATGTGACAGAACAATACCAATACAATGCAAAACATGAGGGGATTGAGGGCCCTGCTCTTTCGAGCTTACAATATAGGAGGGAGGGGATGGTGGCACAGGAGGAGATAGCTGTGGGGGATGGAGTGGTAGGAGGAGGTCGGCAAGTTAGCAGGGGGTGGGGTAGGCTTCCCTGAAGAGATGGGTTTTCAGGGTGCGCCTAAAGGAGAGGAGAGTAGGTGATAATCTGATGGGTTGGGGCAGGGAGTTCCAGAGGATGGGTGACACCCTGGAGAAGTCCTCGAGGCGGGCATGGGAGGAGGAGACCAGGGAACTAGAGAGAAGGAGGTCTTGTGAGGAGCGGAGTGTGCGTGTTGGGTGGTACTTGGATATTAGGTCAGTGATGTAGTTCGGGGCAGTATGGTGGACGGCTTTGTACATCAATGTTAGGACATAGTCTGTCGCTGTTGCACAGGCGTGCACAATTTTAAAGTGTGACATGTTCTATTTACATGGCATAACATCATCTTTTAAATTTTATGGATTGGGTATCATATTGTGTTTTTGTGCCTTAAAATGCAAAAAAGTGTTTTTTTCCCAAAAAATTGGGTTTGAAAAAGTGCTGCACAAATACCATGTGACATAAAAAATTGCACCATCCACTATTTTATTCTCTAGGACATACTTTGTAGCAAAAAATACTGATTTTTACATGTAAACATAAAGCGTCAGAAAAGGCTTGGTCTTCAAGTGGATATCTCATCCTGAGGTCTCTGCATAGTTCTGTGGTAATGAATAAACGTGGTTGTGCTAGTGGTTGTTAAAATAAAATTATACCTAAAGCGCAAATATGCTATGTATATGGTTACAGTAAGCATAAAATTAAAACCCCATTTTGATTTCTGGAGTTAGGAAATAGAGATACAACTTTGACTACTTGCTTAGGCAACATTACTACTTCTACACCTGTAGGCAGTTGCAGTCTATATACTCCAGCTTGTGCTGGAGGTGGAGGGAAACTAAGTAGGACTTCCTTGGTCAAACAAGACAGTGGTCTAGTTGGGTGTTCTGGTCCCATGTGACCGTGGTGTCCATCTTGGGCCAAGCAGAGTCTATTTAAGACACTGACCTCGGGCTTTAGTGCGCTTTATGCAAGTGGCTAGAGTAGGCACAGATTCTCTGACTAGCAGGGACAGTGTTAGCGATAGTGAATGTTCCAGAGAAGTACGGAAAGGGCAGGGACTATGTCTACCTTCTCAGGAAGCTTCCCCTTTGGTTTGGAAAGGCCTGGCTGCACTTTGTTCCTCATGGCAGACACTGTTGGCATTTCTGAGTCTTCTTATCGCTGTCACTTGACCTTGTCGGGTGAGCCTCCCCGTTGTGTCTGGTTGTACTGCTGAAGTACTTTTACAATACATTACCTTTTTCAAATCGGGACTCTGTGCTTACTGCCAACCACACCATGCTGCACCCACCCAACACACCAATGTTGGAAAAAAAGGCAACATGTAATGGCAGCCTTTACAATATCAGGAGCAACATAAACCGTTCTGGTAGTTGCAGCTGAACTCCAGACAGACAGAAAAAAACAATTCTGCAACCAGAATTAGGATGGGCATTGACATTTCGCCTTGCCTCAACTATCCCAAATCCCGCGGGACTGCCAGAATTGCACACCACAAATCAATGGCATGCCTCACATCTGAAGGACAGCTGCAGCTGCCCTGCCCAGCTATCCTTGTGCAATGCACGTTTTCCAGCAGTTGCAGGGCGTAGAAGGTATAGCCAAGACAATCTAGGTCATTTTTTCTCTCTCTGACCACCAACACTGCTTTTGTTTTCCTTCTACCTACCACTGATGCCACAGCATTTTCCCTCTTATTTACCACCAACTCCACAGCAGTATTCCCTTTACTAAATACAGACACTGGGACATTTTTTCCTCAGTTTAACAGCACTGTAACTGACACTATATTGTATGGTCCCGACTCCTGCAGTCAATTCACTATGTTGTACATTACATTGTCCTGACCCCTGCACTCTATGTGCTATGTTGTACAATAAATTGTCCTGACCCCTGCACTCTATACAGTTGTTGTACATTTTTTTTAAAGATGGTATTTATTTTGGTTTTCAAAGTTGTACAAATAAAATACAAATACAAAGTTGTACAAATACAGTAACAATAAAACTCTTATAACCTTTTACTTAGTCTGTATCCTGTGTAGCTTATATGTACAGCCATTACTAAATCAAGCCTGTTTATACAATACAAAGTTGAGGCTATCTGAAGGAACTATACACAATAAGACATGGGGGTTGATTTACTAAAGGCAAATAGACTATTCACTCTGCAAGTGCAATTGCTCCAGAGCTTAGTAAATGAGGTGAAGCTTCACTTTACAAAATCCAATCACAAAAAAGCAACATTTTTGCTTGTGCATGATTGGATGATGGAAGTCAGCAGAGCCTCCCCTCCTTTACTAACCTATGAAGCAACTGCAGTTGCAAAGTGCACAACCTATTTGCCTTTAGTAAATCAACCCCAAAGTGTCATCTCTATGCCTATATTCTGCAAACAGAAAAGCATATGGAAATCAAAGAGTTTAATTTTTCAAAAATCATATCTATTGTTTATGTGCATTTCTGAGACTGTTGCTTGTGACCAGGCCCGGACTGGGACAAAAAATAGGCCTGGGCATTTTAGACTGAGCAGCCCCAAGCCCGAGGACCTTTT